AGATTCAGATACCAATTAGGCATAACATCTGTTTAGTTTACTCAGGGTGGAGGGGTCTGTGTGGCGGTCCTTCCTCTGGGGTGTTTTGCCCACAAGAGCTGGACGGAGTTTCCCCTCCCTCCCTCCTTGCGGTGACTGAGAAGTAGCTGGATAGCTGAAATCACGGAGGCTGGTGCGAGGAAGCCTTAAGGAATTCCTCCAGATGTGATGTGTCCAGACTTGTACCAGCATACGAAGTTTGGAATTGGACAAGATCTGTGTGCTCCCAGTGCATAAGTGGTTTAAAAAAAAAATAAAAGTGCTTCTTAAAATACAAATAGGGAAAAACTCCTTTGAAATGCTGAAGTTACTCTTGGGTGGTGATAAGATATGGACGGTTTAGAATTAAAACAACTTTAACCTTCCTGCTGTTACAACACCGTCATTAATTGTGTGTACACAAACATCCCTGGTCATGTGGAACGTGATCGTTAGAATTTTTGCAGAGCTATACTTAAGGCAACTAGTTTTTTTAATCATACCACTCTAATTAAAATGTTACCGTGAAGTTGGTGGGGGAGGTAGGTCACAGCTCTACAGTTTTTCTAGATTATATTTGGGTTGAGCTTGGTGGGAAGACAAATGTTACTGAATACAAAAGCATTTTCCAAATTTGTGTTTTATGAATGAGAGGGAATCTGAAATTACTTCTGATACTAAATGTCAAATTGGAGAAAGGGAGGTTGGAGTGTGGGGCTCAGTTGGTAAAGTGTTGTTAACCTAGCATGCACAAGCCCTAGGTTGATCCCTAGCACCCTATAAAACTGGGCGTGGTGGTGCATGCCTGGAATCCCAACACTTGAGAGGCAGGGATAGAAGGGGCGGATGGAAGTCCCTCCTCAGCTCTGTAGCCAGCTGGAGTAAAGCAAACAGGAGCAAGAGATGGCTCAATTAATAAAGTGCTTGCTGGTCCTGTGAGGGCCTGAGGTCACAGCCCTGGCCTCCGAGTAACAGCCGAGCATGGTGGTACACATCTGTTCACTCCAGCTGCAGGGGACATCATCCTGAAGACAGGATCTTGGGTTCTTGTCCATGCTGACAAG